CCGGAGGGCAAGCAAAATGTTGATGATGCAGTTGAGCATTTTGCACAGAGCACTGAACCAAGGAAAGTGCGAAAGATGATTTGGGAGCTGGACTCTTTCGGAAGCACTGCCTTGCAGAGTCTGTGATGGAATATGCTGAGCCCCCAGCAGGTATGCATTGTTATGTAGTGCTTCAGACTAGCCATCTCAGTACTTATGCAACTCTCAGCCACAACAAATTGCCAGCTTATTTCAAGTCAGTTTCATACATGTCATGCAATGGCCAGTCACTTACTTGTCAAGTGGTTTTTGGGATCAGCAAAGCGGTATTCATGAAGTCCAGCGCTGAGTAGACCCTCAAGGTGTTTTTGCAGTATTTGACTGTTATGCGTATGATAGCTACCAGTACAATTATGATAAGGATGGTTTGAAACCCGTGGAGTGACAAAATTCAACACTCACTCTTTATGCTAGACGTTCTAAATGACACACACCTACTGTTACTTCACACTTACATAGCAGCTGAGTTGTACGGTGTAAGTATAATGAATTGCTGGTTTTGCAAAGAGCCTTGCACTTGCTTTGCATTCATACAAGTCATGTACACAAACGTAATGTGAGCAAGTATTATTTGATACACATGTACTAATGAAGGGTGTAACTCTTATAGATCCATCTATCAATCCCAACATCCTCATGGAAGTCTTTAAAGCTATCACTGATAACTGGGAACAATTTGGTGGTGCCCCAAAGCCAACAATACCAGCTGTCAGGGCTGATCTCCTTCTTGAAAAGTTCAGTGATCGTGATCAAGTCAATGATGAGGCAGGAAAGTACTACGCTCTCTACCATCCTGATCCAAACTGGAAAAAGTTGTCAATTCATCTCTATAGAGCCAGGGAGACTGATGCCGTACGGATAGCAAGACCTCACATTCAAACTGTGACTGGTAAATTATGCACTTAGGTGACAGTGCATTATCTCCTATATGATAATGTGTCAGCTTTCATGCACTTACACACCTAGCTAGAAGCTCCTTACTAGGGTTTGTAGTCAAGGTGCAAACAGCCAGTGAGTAGAATAGCAGATTTATTAGAGAAGGATTCACATCTTTTAATGCGTACATTATTAGCCAAACCTGTAACCAATTAATTCTCAAATTACAGTACTTTGTTCATGTGTATGGCGTTGTGTCTGTGTAGCTGTCTATTTGCAACCCAACTCTACGCTAGACTGGCTTGACATAAAGTTTGCTTGGTGACTCGATAAGATGACTATGTGTAGTGAATGCAATTACTTAACACATTAATGAGGGCTAAATATAATGAACACAGACAGCTTGCTCCTGCCCATTTTTACCACATAGCCCATTATTGTTGGAAAGCCATTGTGAGTGTGCTGCCTGGCAAACACAGTCTTTGGCTGCAGCTCTGCCTCGTTTGCTATCAAGACTTCTCCTTGACAGCTCTTTCATTGCAGTTTATTGTCCTAGCTCAGTTGGTAGAGCGCTCGCCTGGAAGCAGAGTGTCGTGGGTTTGAATCCCACCCAGGGCAGCTCTTCTTGGAAAAATGAGCTGTACTAGGTGTAGTTGACTTGTTTCCTTTGCCTTGCCTTTTACCTCAATACCTTGTTACAACCAGACAGGTTGCAAGTTTGCAGCCAATTACGTGTCTAATCCTGCTGTGAGCAATTCTCTTTCACTAATGTAGACCCCAGCCTGAACTCAGCCAACATCCTACAAGTCATGCACCATGTCCCACTATGGGGGAGAGACGATTCCTACAAGTCTCTTGACATGCCACAGAGCCAGCATGATGAGATAGTAGAAAAGTTCCATGGTGAGGAGGCGAAGCAAGAACTGATTACTGCATGGCTAGACGGTCACCCCTGCCCTGCTGGGAGCACGTGAGGAATCTCCTGAGGGATGGAGTTGGAGATGAGGTGGGAAAGAGAGCAGCAGAGGAGGTGGAGGAGACATACCTCAAGAGTGAGTTTAATATACTATGAACCCTCTACTCTGGATATCCAATGGGCACACACGGACACACACTTGCGTCAGCTTGTAGAGATGGTAGAGAGAAAATAGATATAGCGCACTCAATAGTTATCAAGCATGAGGCATGATCTCAAACACAGTGTACAGCTTTAGTGATTTAGCTGTATTAGAGCTGCCCTTTTAGCTCAGTGGTAGTGCACTCGGTTTGTAATTTAACGGTTTAGAGAGAGTGTTATGTAGTTTGAGTTCCAGGACAGCTCTGTTTTGATATTGATCACTTGCCTGGTGTTAACTCATGGGAGCAAAGTAAAGCATACAGCATTGCACTACACAACAAGTGGAATTGTAGCATGGGTCAAATGGGTCACATGACTCACAAAGGGGCATCCAAACATTGACTACTGCCTATCGTTACCCTGGGACTGCCCCCTGCTGTGTGTGGTCATATTGTGCTTGACGCCGACAATGCAGCAGCTATAGAGCTGCACCATGCATCTGTGTAATTTGTATTGTGTGTGCCACAATGCTACTCCGCAATGCAAGATAGAGTGTTTTATAAGCACATAATATGCTGGCATGGCACACACAGTTGTGACTTTGGTCTTTGTGTGGAATCACATGTATAATGCGAGGAGTAATAAATAAAAAAATAATAGTGACCTTGTAATTAATTTAGTTCCCGTGTCTATAGGACCAGATAGGTGTCACTAATGTAACAAGGACGTACATAGCTAATGCTATTAATTTAGGTGTTAACATACTGTTAATTCATACTTTCAGTGACTCCTGAGAAGGCCCGGCAAATCCTTGAGGCTGCCCTTCGAGACGGCTCTCTGCCACTGGGCTACCTCAAAGCTATGGCAGGCCAAGGAATCCCTGAAATCAAGAAGATGCCGCATGCTTGATGTGATCGCAAGAAGTGGCGGACTAAGTAAGTACAGCCTGGTAGTTGATAAAATACCCCCAAATAGCATTCCTGTTATGGTGTTACTTAATGATGTCAACAGTATGTATGCCGAAGAGCATAACAGAGGTACTTAGTGTGGAAGAATGCGAGAAGGCCATGTGCTGGGAGGCCTAACAATGGATCGACACAGAGTCTGGAGGCTGCTTAGGTTCACGTCAAACACCATGAGATGAGTGTGTGGATGTACATGCAACATCATAGTTCTACTGGGTGTGGTGTCATCGACCCTCAGATGCAGCACTGGACAGTTATGAATCGAATAGTTCGGCACAGCTACGCGTAAGTGGTGGTGCAATTGCTGAGCTGACGGAAAGTGATTCCCGCGCCGTGGAAAGACGCGGATACAAATAGCAAGATGTTAGAAGGAACTGATTTCTGGCTGCTTGTAAGGGGGCTGGTTGAGGCCGACGATGCTCTGAACTGTTTATGAACTGTATATAGTAGCTCCTAGAGTGTTCCGAATTTATAAATGCTTCCACCCTTCAGACTATGGCAGCAAGAAAACGATATTGAACGTTATATCCCTTCTTCCATCAACATATTCCACCACTCTTCTTAACTTTCCAAAATCCACAATCGCAACGGTGTCTTCTGCTCCACCATACGTGATACTTCAGAATATAAATGACTACATGCTATACAAGGAAAAGCAGGCAAAAAATGTACCAGTGTCCTGTTCCGCAACCGCATGCTACAGCACCCAAAAAGGGCAATCAAAATGACACTATTATGCCAATAAAGCATTTTGAGGTTCACCGACTCAAGATAAACCAGATTGCAAAACCTATCAAAAAATCTGTCCGTAAAGAAGTCCGCCATATGCTTTTAAACGCAGTCGAGAGTGCAGCAGCTGCATTTAGCTTTAAGGTTCGCAGGCTTCAGTAGCCTTCAAGGTCCTTGCAGCCTGGATTCCGTTCCATGCAGCCATTGAATGAAGACTGCACAGACCTTGTCTGCACACTCACTGGGGAGATCAGCGACTTCCCCTCGACTCCTGGGCAGAAGGTGTGGTTGGGACCACAGACTGCTACCACTGGTGAGTTGTGTGTGGGCTGGAGTGTTTTGTGTGTACAATTTAGGCTTCAGATAGTTTTAACATTTTGTGCGTGTTGCAGCCAAACACGGGCCTGGAGAAGTGACAGAGCTACCTCCTACAAAGAGGCAAAGAGTGGAGGGGAAGCTACGCCCTGTTTGTTGTGATGTACAGGCACTAACACACAAATCTATTTTCTCCTCAGGTGATCGGCCCACCCTGCAAGAGCTAATTCGTCTCAAAGTTCCTCGGCAGGTGGGGGCCAACTACACCACATTTGGAATCCTCCTCCTCAACGATGATTTAGGGAGTTAACTCAGGCCGGAAATGGGAGTGTCGTTGGGGTGGCCTAGTGAAAGGTGACTCTCGAAGAATCCTGCAGAAGTGGCTGGAGGGAAAGGGACTCCCTGTGACGTGGCAGACTTTCATTAACACACTCAGAGACATCGAACTCTCCAGTCTCGCTGACCATGTTCAGACTGAGAAATTGTGATTCCTGCTAGCTTGTAATCTGCTTCTAGCAAGCATTTTCATTCTTGCCCTAATTCATATATAGTCATCTGCTGTTGCCAGAATCTCTACCTGCCACGTTTGTTTTTCTCCCGCCATTCGCCTATGACTTGAGCACCTTGCGTTTTGGTATTTCCAAGGCTAGCTGAATTTTCATAGGTATAGCTATACTAACAGCCTGCAGATGTAGGGTATCTTAGTATTTTATCCAGAAAGTTGCCAATCACACAGAAAAACTGGGCACTTGGCAAACACAGTCTTCTTCAAGAAAGCTATACTTCAAACCATGGGAATGACACAGTTTGAGCACATGTTAAAAGTGCCAACGGCACTTAATAACATTGTGATCAAACTGCTTCCTAATATTATGCCCCCAACTGTACCTCACAGTTAATAATCTTTCATTAACCTCTGTACAACAATAGAGTTAACTAAGCTAATGTCGAGCTATATCCTGGAGTAGAACCTAGGTGGTTCAGAGAGGATCTGAACAACGTCTCTGTACAGATCTCGTTTGAGTGCAGCGAGAGTTCTCCTGTCCAGACCTCCGCGGCCAGCCAGTCTCTCTCCAGCTGCCATGGCTGACTCCCTCAGCTGGGCCGGTGGACACACTCATCTACAAGGCCAGCAGCATGAGCCTCCTGCCCACCGTACCTTCTGCCCAGCACCAGAACTGCTCTTTGCCCTCTCTTTGCCATTCTCGCCCTGCAGAATATACAAAATACGAATTCACAGCAAACACAGACTAATAACTCGGTATAATATTACTTTGCAAGTTCCAGTAGGGCGGCAGGAAAGCTAAACTTCAACTTTATCTGTAGAGAAAAATATCTACCGTACCATGTGCAATGATGTTATTTATGTAGCTGCATGATGTAAAGACTCATTCACCTCTGGGAAGCAAAAGAAGCCCTTGCTGTTGTTCATGATGATATAGTATAGGAGAGCTCCAGCAGCATAGATATGACCTACGCAAGTGAGAAACACATGCCAATAGCTACACAGTGCAGTACTGAGTGGTTAACCCTTTGGACGCCATGGGTATCTTCTTAAATAAGCAGAATTTTAGGTAATAAGTATTAGCGTCTAGTATTATAAAATCTTATGGACATATTGAGGCTCTGGACACATTTATGTGTCCGCAGCTGATTTAGTGTTAAGGCTACGGCCTAAAAATAGCCTACGGTGGTAGGGGGATGTGAGGTCGCTATATATCATACCGTTAGCAGCAGCCACTGTGACCATGGGAAATGTGAGGAGACGACAGTAGAGCCTCTGCAGGTCCGCCATGATCTGAGTCATCTCATTCCCACTGACACTCAGGAGGTAGTCCAGGTCCATGCCCAGGGAGAAGAACTTGCCCTCGGAAATGGTCACCAGACAAGTGGCATCTTTGTAACTGGAGATCAAAACCAATGTAACTATCTTCTCCTTGTATAGCTGTAGGCTGAAACTTCCCATGCCACTCATCATTAGCTACTAGCTAGCTAAAGCATGTCTGTCAGCAGCATTCAGTGTTCTACGACTCACTTCTCGGCCTGATCAAGGGCGCTGTTGTATTCCTCGAAAAACCTGGGATTTATCCTGTTCTCCTTGTTCTCGCTGATCAGACGTATCACCGCGCATGGACCGACTTTCTCCACCACACAACGTTTTTCCTCCATCTTCACCTGGACGATAGTCTCGTGCCCAGACCCCGCCCTCAAGAGAGGAAAAGGGTCTCCTTTCTTGGTGTGCTGACTCGACGGTCTTACTTTTGAGACACCGAATCAGATTGCCACGAGCGTAAAATATCACATGATTTTATGTTATTTTAAACACACTTAAATGTTCTGGTAGATCTATCTTCTGAAATACGGGAGTTAGCTAATTGTTTTTTTGGGTTATTAACAATGCGCAGTTAGTCTTGCATAGCTACACTCAACGATACTTCGGCGGCTAGAACCATGGACACCTTTGACTTTTCCACATTGTATACAAGCATACCACATCATTCCTTGAAGAGCAATATGAAACAATTGATAGAAGATCCCTTTAAGGTGAGAGGAGCAATGATAACTAAGAGAGGTAAATGTTTCTGGAGTATATACCAACAATAAGTAAGGAAATTAACATCAGTAAAGCTCGACTAATAGATATGGTCTACTATCTTATTGACAATATATATATATGTCAGTAGGTAATAGGGTGTTTCGTCAATGCATAGGTATACTTATGGGCACGGATTGTGCACCTTTATTGGCAAATTTATATCTTTTTCACTTTGAGTATATAGCTACATAATTATTATGAGAAGGCTGATATGTGTCTAAACCGAGAGCATTTTCTAACACCTTTTGGTACATTGATGATCTACTCACTTTTAATAACCCCTCTTTTGAGAATGAGATATATCCATCTGAGCTTGTGTTGAAAAAGACAATGGAGAATAGCGGTATGGTTCCATACTTGGATGTCGGCATTATAATAAAAGATGGACATTTCACCTCCACCATCTATGGAGAGATAGTTTCAAGTTCCGTATTGTTAATTTTCCTTTTATGAGCAGCAACATTCCCGCTGGTCCTTTGTATGGCGTTGATATATCTCAATTAGTGAGGATTGGGTGAATATGCAGCACTTATATATGATGAATTGATTAATCAGAATATGATGATTTCAGTTATAATAAGTTGGTTGGCAGCTTCAAACAATTTTATGTGTAATATAGCTATACATGTAATGGATAGATATATATAATGTCGGTTTGAAGAAGGCATATGTGGCCTTTATATTGGACGACCATCCTTGTACAGACACATAACCACACGGCGACGTCGTTTGTAAATTCTGGCTGGCCCTACATTCCTGTTGGCCTGCATTATATATTGCTTGCTCTTGGTCTCTCTCTGTCATTCCATTTCTGTGCTGTCGTCAATATTGAGGTGTGATTTTACTACTCCATGGGCAGTATCATGCACTGCGAGAAAGGCTTGGGTGAGTGGGGAGAGTTCACCGGTGATAAAAGACTCTTTTTAACCCACCATCCCTGGTTCTCAAGGCCGGGGCATCCTTTTATGCCTCTTCTGACCTCTAGTGCCCTACACAACTGTTTTACCTCAGTTATTTTTGTGCTGCTGTTTTTCTTAGGGATGTTATTTTTATACTTTTGTATGGTTTATTTTATATATCGCAGATTATTTTTATACTATGATACCGCCTGTGTCCGTACCGTCTCCTGCCCGTTTGTAGTCATTTCACCGCCAGCTCACGTGTTTTTTGCAAGTCCCAAGCCCTTATGGCTGTTATGGTTAATTGGAAGTCCTTTTTCCTTTCTTTTCTTTCTATGTATAGCGTGAGCTGTTCAGTTTGCAGCTCCGTGGATCCACGAAAGAAAACGGGCTTTCTGCGCATGCACTGGACAATGATGAGTCAGCAGTAAGGCAATGCCGCCCCGCTCGCTCTATTGAGCTAGGGGCGGGGTCTATAGGCCCGAGACTAGTATAATACAGCGCGAGCCCCGTAACTAAGGTAACGGTAATACCGTAATGTTCTAAATTAGCGCTAAATGTCCTACGTGAAACAGCCGTGCATCGACAGCTAGTCGACTACCTACTACCTGGGGGCGGGGCTACTAGCGTTTGCGCAGTTTCTCAAACCCATACGTCGTGTACACACACGTACGTACACGTGTATGTACGCTCGCTCTCACACAGCTGACTGAATAATTATGGAGATCGAGAAGAGGGGGAGTGTAGTGCTGATTTGCATGAACAGGCCTCATCGGCAGAACAAACTGACGTCAGAGATAATGCAGCAGCTCATGGAAGGACTGGACATAGCAGAATCGTAAGCCCAGCACTGCTGTCAGAAACACTGTCAATTGAGTAAACTCTGTTGGCCTAGCTGGGAAGACGCAACATGTTTGGTGACAACAGGCATGGGGAAATTCTACAGCGCTGGACTGGACATTAATACAGAGACGCCCCTCAATCAAGACCCTCATCAGATCGCCCACGATATGGGACTACTGCAGAAACTAGTGGCACGTCTGCTCACCTTTCCCCTTCCTACCATAGCAGCCATCACAGGTTTAGTACACCTCCCACCAGTATATATGAGGTTCCCCTTGGTTGGTATTATTAGGTACATAGCTACACCTTTGCTTTTTAATAATGTAGAGATGAAAACATGTGACATGGACGCGCATTTTAGTTGACATGGTAGGTGATAAATCAGTGACAAAAATGCATAGGTTAAAAAGAAACTGCTTCCATCGAAAGTCAAACTCCTGAAATACAAATGCACAGTCTTGTTCCCTTGAACAGCCTCGGAACACGGGTGGCTCCCAGTCAATATACCAGTATAATAAGGTAAAAGTACTACAGGGAATACTTCTACCTGACCTGCAAGACGTGGTTTGTCTTGTAGTTGCAGCCAGGCACAATCCCAGATTTAATTTCCTTACATCCTTCCTATACTAATTTCCGTGTGTATTTTTGGTTGCCCTTTGCTTGCATAGTGCGGTAGAGCACTCTGCCTAGACTATAGAGTTTCGTTGGTTCGAGTCCGGCCCAGGGCAGCTCCTGTGGATGTCTGGTTGTCATTGACTTTGTACGTGCCTTGCATTCATACCACACTTATGATTAACTTAGCCATACACTCTTGGTTAGTAGATGCTGGACTAGAATAGTTATCCGGGGGTCATTTAGCTTCAACCACTGAATGGGGTTTGTATTTGTGCACAGGTCATGCATTTGGTGGAGGGGCATTCCTGGCGTTGGCTCATGACTACAGGATAATGAGCAGTGGTCGAGGATGGTGGTGTCTCCCGGCAGCAATAGTGGGCCTGCAGATTCCTCTGTCCACTGGCTTCACTGCCCTCCTAAGGTATACTACTTTATTACATATACACCCCAGGCTTGAATGTCACTGTGTTTTAATTGTGTGATTATAAGAGATAGTCACTGATGCTGCCTCACACACTGGCTTGGTGCACGTCAAAGGAGCATGTGAGTGCTAGGGGTCTTTACCACATTTATATGCAACATGTTTAGCTACTAGGTCGCATCAAGTAGAATGATAGTGTGATGAGTGCATGTATAGGAAAAAGAAACAGATCTACATACTAGTGGGTCCAAGGATAGTATTCTTCACGACCTATTATTCAAAGGGTGTTGTTTGGATTATGTGGACTGACGTTCACAGGGCCAAGGTGCCAGTGGGGGCTCTAAGCCAGGCGATACTGGCCCAGAGATTCACCGGAGATGAGGCACAGCGAGCCGGGATAGTGCACGAGGTGTGTCCGGCAGTTGAGGTGACAGACAGAGCCCTCTCAGTGGGAGCCAGGCTGGCTGGCGATAAGCCGCACCTGAGGCTACACAGAGACACACTCGCGACCCTCAAACGCCAGCTCTACAGCGAAGCTTACACAACTCTCTCAAGTGGATTAAGTTATTCTCATCACAAATCAAAACTTTAGGTGTAAAAACAAGTGCACACATGTTATATTACCAGAGAATGAAATTATTATGACGCTTCCCTAAAAATATTCTTTTTCATAAACTGCGGATGTCATCTGATCATTCCGGTGGTGTTTCCCTTGTAAAGATGAGAGGCATTTTTCCTCCTGGTCTGAGAGTGCCTCTGTTGCACTGAGACAAAGTGCTGCAGAAGGTCACTGAAGCTCACGTTGCTTGGCGTCTTTCTCTTGTGTCTGTAAGAGAGAGAGATACCGATTTCTTGTACTACCGTACTTTGACTTATACAAGAGGGGAATCTCACAACAAACCAAGCCCAATAATGAGTGCAGGGGATCGACTAAACCTAACACATGCGCACACTGCATGCTGCTGGCGACGACGCGCGCGGCGACTCGCGCGAGAGAGAGGAGGGCGCGCTCCGCGTGCGTTGTTTAGCGTCAACCGTTGCCAGGGCAACGTAGGGTGCGCGTTATTTTGAGTTCGTCGTAAATGAGCGCTGAGACTGTGTGTGCAATGGCAGCGGAAGAGAAAGCGATCGAGCCTCAGGGGGCCGTCAGCTTTGTCGTCAGTTTTAACGAGTGTCCTCCAAAACAGAGGAGACTGCCCAAAGGCCTGGCGGCGCGGAGGGAACAGCGGCAGGCCAAGGCATCGTTCACGGAGCAGAGCATCGCGGAGAAGCAGAGGAGAGCGGAAGAGCGGAGACAGGTAATGTAGTTTCACTGCACACAAGCAATACCGTTGGTCCTTCTAGTTCTCCGGCATACGTAGTTCTAGACGCTTAGAAATGAACGGTGGTTCTTTAGAGCAGAGTAATACGGAAAATAGAGCGTTTGAGCGTCTTGGCTCTGTGTACTAAGCGGTGTGTTTGTGACTGTGGTAGAAACTGACGGAGGAGAAGTTGGAGAAACTACGTCAGCTAGAGGAGGAGATGGCGGGGCTGGCCAGGAAGATGCAGACACGCGAATCAGCCCAGAACTCGACCAAATCTGTCCCTCCTCCCTCCAAGATCTCGGAGGACTCTGGGGGTGTCAGCAATCATGTGACGAATGGTGTTGCCCACCACCCAGAATGACTCATTACCCTGTACCATACAGGCAGTCAACATTTTAGAATGGGTATGCTAAATTCATACTTCATTTATATCCACGCAACGTTATCATGACCACATATTTATTATATATACTTCAGTTTTTAGCATCCAATGTCTCAATCCTCTTCATGTATATGTGTGTGATCTGTAAGCGTGTTCATTGGTTAATCTGCGCATGAATACATGACTTGTGACAATGTTTATCCCACCCAGACTTGTTCTTCGTATGTAATGTAGCTCCCCCGTGACATTTTGCTGTGTCACCAGATCACTATCTACACAAACACCTTAGAGGTCTGGGGAGCATGCCTCTCCTTTCCCATACATGCTGAATGTAAGGGAATCATTTTCCCTTTACCGCGACCTTGCCACCCATTCAGTAAGCTATATAGGGTCTAGTGACATGACCGTAGTCCAGGGTTGTTGACCCACAGTAACCAGTGGAGGGTGTGCTTCTTTTAGAGTCACTCAATGACAGGGAAGGCAGGAAGTAGAGAATCTGACACCATGCATTCAAGATGGAGTCATGTATTGTGCATGATGACCTATTGTTACACTCAGGAAACCTTTCACCTTACACCATGCCCAAATTAGGGTATAACGTCTGTAGTGTACACCTGGGTCTTTTTCAGTTTGGGAAATGTTTTTCAAAACAAAATATCGCTATGTGTGCACCTCACTGTCACTAGTACTCACTAGTAATAGGGATGGATACACTTGTGACCAAGCTTTATATGGAAGGCCATCATAACATTGTTAAACCTCCTACACAGAGCATAGGTTGTTTGTCACAGAATGATTACCATTCGCCGCCATCCATTACTAACGATGTACATGGTGTAGAGTATATACAACAGACTATAATACTGCCAGCTATCAAGGAACATGCATCCCTGGCAAAAGACAGTGTACAAGTTGTAACATTACCAACTCTTCACACCACAATCACTAGTATAGTGATGGTCAAATCATTCCTCCTGCTATATACTAGGGCAAAGCTAGGGTGTCCAGAGTAAGAGTTGACATGCACATTTACATTAATGCACCTTACTAGGGCTGAACCCAGCAGGTGAACTATGTAGTAATCTGAACAGAGGTTCAACCCACTATGTTACAATGCCATATGCAAGAGTTTGATGCACTTATAAGCACATGACTGTACAATGTAAATCTGCTTCAGTATGTTACCATTCACCTTTGTCTGCTTGACAATGGGTGTATTATAGTAAGTAGAGTAAGTAGAGATAACAGAACTCACTTGTCGCTGGATTTGCTGGAGTGCTCCGAGACAGCCGGAGGAACACAGCCCAGTCTCTCCTTGAGGGTGCTGAACGCCGTGCTCTGTGGCAGTAACATCAACAGTCCATACAGTGTCCTCACCAGCGCGGCGTGCTGACTGGGGTCCAGCAGCTGTAGCCGCAGGAAGGCAAAGATGGGAGACTCTAGCAGTTGGACCAGCTTGTCGATCTCCTTGAGTGTCCCGGCGGTGATCTCGATGTTGACAAACTTCTGGACGAGGTCCGAGGAGTGTTTGTAGTTCTGTGAGAGGAGGCAGAGGGCTATGGTGGCCACGGGGTTGTGGCACCAGCTGCGGTAGAGTGTCGTGAACAGACTCCAGCTCTCCTGGGAGGGGGAACCAGGTGGATGACAGGAGCAACATGTACACACACACACACACACATAAAACTACATTAATATGCTTTCAACGTTCAAATGTGAGTTTCACATTCAAATTGAGGACTGATATGAGTGTCTCCACATGCAAATTGACACTGGCATAATTATGTGCATATACACAACCAGCAGGGAATGGTACTTTTGGCCCCTGTTTAGCTCATATTAGTCGGCCCAATATCTGCTTACACAGGCCAATTGAGAAAAACAAGCTTTAACCTCACTCATAATAGGATGGCTCTGCTGGTATGAGGTTGCCAATTTAGCTAAATCTTGCGCACTGTCCTGAGCTCAACTACCACTGGCACATCTAGCTTTCAGAGTGAGACACAAGTCTAGTGTGCACATATTGAGTCGACACAACATGTTGCAGATGACAGGCATTTTTGTCATGTAGCTGTGTTGAGACACTTGTCTCATGCAACCAAGTTACACCACAATCCACAATCACTATACATATTATGTGTCACCAACAACTAAGGTAGAAGGCAAAGCAACTATACCCAGGAGAGCTCTTTTACAGCTCTTTTTTCCGAACCCACGGCACTCTGCAGTATAGGCAAGCACTCTACCAACTATACATTTCAGCAACTGACTATGACTGATGCTGGGCTAGTGACTTCCAACACCCCTCCCGAAAAGTCATATCCACTATCCTCCTAAGCCACACCCACCACACCGGGAAGCCACACCCACCGGTGTCTCCAGGAGCTGTAGCTGAAGTCGTAGTCCATAGAGCTCAGTGGAGGTGAAGAGGATTTGGTTGAGGACCTGGACCATGAGAGAGGCAAAGGCCAGGTTCTCCTCCGAGTTCAGGATCTCTGCCAGAGTGCAGTAGACTGCATGGGCATCCACATATACACACAGCTGTCTGTGCACCAGTGAGTGTGTGGATAGGGGGAAAGAGGACAAGGTAATGAAGACGAGCCACGTGAACCAGTCACCAGTAAATTTCAGCTCAAGACATGTTTATGAGTGTGTACAGTCTCCATGTCTGTGTGTCTGTGTAGGGACAGTGGTGGAGCCAGACTAAACCAGCCTCGTCATTAGTAATGTTACTAGAATGTTTGCAAGCGAATGGGAGACCAATATTACAGTAGTTTTATGCACATTGTAGAATTACGCCGTGTGACACTGCCATATTAGAAAAATCAGCAACTTCAAACCACTAGGTACAATCGTATAGGCATACAGACTACGTTGGATTAGTCAAAGCAATAGTAAGAATCACATACCCTGGTACATACAGTAACTCAGTGGGTATATAGAGCACTCTGCCTAGACTGTAGAGTGTCGTGGGTTCGAGTCCCACCCGGGCAGCTCTTAAAGTGTTGTCCTGAGTGTTGCTACAAGGTACGAAAACTGAAACTGTACGCTTGGTGTACTTGGTGTACTTGGTGTACTTGTGTGTACTTGGTGTACTTGGTGTACTTGGTGTACTTGGTGTACTTGGTGTACTTGGTGTACTTGTGTGTACTTGGTGTACTTGGTGTACTTGGTGTACTTGGTGTACTTGGTGTACTTGTGTGTACTTGGTGTACTTGGTGTACTTGGTGTACTTGGTGTACTTGGTGTACTTGGTGTACTTGGTGTACTTGGTGTACTTGGTGTACTTGGTGTACTTGGTGTACTTGGTGTACTTGGTGTACTTGGTGTACTTGGTGTACTTGGTGTACTTGGTGTACTTGGTGTACTTGTGTACTTGGTGTACTTGGTGTACTTGGTGTACTTGGTGTACTTGGTGTACTTGGTGTACTTGGTGTACTTGGTGTACTTGGTGTACTTGGTGTACTTGGTGTACTTGGTGTACTTGGTGTACTTGGTGTACTTGGTGTACTTGGTGTACTTGGTGTACTTGGTGTACTTGGTGTACTTGGCGGCAGAGAAACCAACCCAGTATGCAATGTGTTTCCCTCTACATGTACATACTTTACTTACACACCTTCGTCACACATCACACAGTAGTACTTACACCTTTGTCAAAGATTGTGCAGTAGTTCTTACACCTTTGTCAAAGATTGTACACATCACACAGTAGTACTTTCACCTTTGTCAAAGATTGTACACATCACACCTCATTACCTCACGATAAAGTTTCCCTTCCTGTCCAGTAGAATTCTGTTGTCTCTGTCAAACATCTTCAAGAGCTCCACAATGAACAGACGAAAATAGTTGTTGCTGGGACAGGGAGTGAGTCTCATGACCTTTTGACCTCCGTCAGACCCCGTTGCAGCAGGTATGGAATGTGTGGCTGGAGACTTTGAGTGAGAAGACGACTTGGTCTTGGTGGGTGTGGTCTCGTGGATGGTGGGTGTGGTGAGACTGGGAGGAAGGTCCAGACAGGCTCGGGAGGTGGACAGGATGGCAATGGCGTGAAGAGCCATGCACACCACCTGCACAAACAATACCTTCCTTTACCTATTTACCACACGAGAATAGTGGCATGCATAGAGAACGAGCACTGGTTAAGTTGTGTAGGAAAAATCACGCCGTTCGGACCACTAGGTTAGATTGCTCCCGCTCGCCAATTATCACATGGGATGTACATATGTCCTAGACTCACTCGGTCATTGAGGTCAGTCAGCATCTCCAGTAAGGCTGGAAACAGATTCCCTGCTTGAAGATACACCTGCAAGGTTGCCAGCAAGTGTGCAGTACAAGTGACTTTACTTTCATGCCAGCATTAATCTATGTGTGCCTCCTCCCCGCACACTCCTCCGTTTATGCTTCTCCCTCTACAACTATCCCCCTCAGACCCACCCTCTTGGGGAGCTGCTGGTGAAGCCACATGAGCCATCTCAGAGTCTCCATCCTGGTCTCGGGAAGGGTGAACTTCATGTGGGGGATGAGGACCCCCAGCACTGCCAGCAGGTGTAGCCGAGGCTCAGGCAGCTGTGGTGCCACGCCCTCCTCCCCCTTCCCCTCTCCTCCCCCTCCCACACCCTCCTGGTCTGTGTCCGACTTCCGCGACAGATTAGGAGACTGGCTGGCCTGTTTCCCGATCGGCCGACCCAGTTTGGGACTGTCCTGTTGTTTGCTGGTGGGCGGGGTGTCCTGTGTGTCTGACGTGGTCGTTGTGGAGGTGGGTGAGGATGAGAGTGGTGCAGGTGTGGAGGTAGTGAGGGGGGCGGAGCCTGTGTGACCCATTGTGACCTGTGACTGCTGTGAGTTTGGGGAGGGTGTGATGGTGGTGGTCGGAGGAACGCCATGTCGTTGTGACGGTACGACGAGAGTGTCAGAGCTAGTGGTGGGGGGTGTGGCTGTCTGGTCAGTGAGGAAGTCCTCATCATCTTCAGGAGTAATTAGTTTCTTGAGTCGATCATTGACTGATACTGCCACATCTCTGATGTCTGTCGTCCACAGTCAGGGAAACTAGAAAACTCTTCAGTACTTCAAAATAACTCATGACTCTTGCATAGCCTAGGCATTTTGTGATGGGAATGGGATCCACTACTGTACTGTGTTGCTAGGACAGACGTGCACTGAGCACTGGGCACCAGTGGACCCAAGGAGCAAAAATATTAACTACAACTTAACACCGGCACCTCTGCACTTGGTTTGAGAATCTACTTACCCTTAAATAGACACCACAGAATGGGAGCAGTCAATGTACGGAAGTATGGAAAAAAAAATGAACGGCAAATTAAAAAACCGTTTACTTTTTCATGGGGTCTACTGTAGTACAGTACCATTGACTGGGGGAATAATGACACCCAGACCATGTCACCCAATACAAGATGCAATTTAAGAGCATCAACCCAGGGGCACAACAATCATGTGAGAGAGGGGATACGGGTCTTGTCGTTGTCGTAGGCAACGCAGGGGAGGATGGAGACGAGGATGTTGGAAGTGAAGACCATCATGGAGCGCTGGGCCAGGCTCAGGAATGTCTTCATCCACGTCAGCGCCGTAAACTGAATACACTTGTCTGGAGGGAAGGGAAAGAGGGAGGGAGATTTAGCAGCATGTGAACTAGAACGGCAAAGGCACAACAAAACAAGTCAACTACACCCAAGACAGCTCTTTTTCCAAGGACACCTTTTTTTTCCAGGACAGCTCTTTTTTTCCAAGGAAAAAGAAGAGTTGCCCTAGGTGGGATTCGAACCCACGACACTTTGCAGTCTAGGCGAGCGCTCTACCAGCTGAGCTGCGAGGGCAACTCAGCTGGTATATAGCTGCATTATGCAGTACATTGCTCACAGTACACCACTGCTTCACACAACAAATATTTTAGAGAGGGTGTGGGGACTAGGGTAAACTAATCTACACAGCCCAGAATGTAATCATGCTACATGCTACGATGACACAACTGTGCAATGTGTTGACATCATCTACACTACTGGTTGCCATGTAACCTTGGCTCAGAGGACACACAGAGTCTATTGTACCAGCTCACCTTCAGACTGGCAGTGAACAGCGAGAATGTTGGCCATGGCCTCGAAGCGGACCGAGGAACTGTGTCTCTCTATCTCTCTCAACAGCTCTCCCAGTGCATCCTCTGTCCTGTTGGATAGACAGACAGACAGACAGACAGACAGACAGATGGTCACAATCCAGTGGACCGAATCTGAGATTTTGTGAACATGTGGGGTGTTGTTGTTGGAAACATGCTGCATGTCTCAACAAGAAAGGCAAGGCAAGGCAAACAAGTCAACTACACCCAGGACAGCTCATTCTTTTAAGGAGAGTTGCCCTAGTGGATTATTAGGGGCATGATGCTGGACAACCTAGCGTGTAAAGGCAGTTCAAATTTTATATGCTGGTTGTATTTGTATCTCACATTCTGCGTATCTCTTTCCTCTGGTCTCCCAGGATACAGAACAGACCATCGATGAACTCTGGGACATGTTCATGGATGTGTATGTCGGGGACTGAGTCCAGGAATGAGATCTGAAACAAACAACACACCGGCCAAATGCATATTTTGTACCTCTGATATAATTATCTAAGGCAAAAAGTAAGGATTGCAATATTTCAAGAAGGCAAGTTTGGGTGACATCTGAAATAAACAACACACCAGCCATACGCCTATCTTTGACTCTGGTACCTTTTAAAATAGTGTAATGTACTGTAGCTGCTAGAAGAAGGACTCACTGACCCATGTGACAAGGAACTGGCGAGCAAAGGCGTCCTGAGTGTAGATCCTGTCCCTCAGGAGAATGATGAAGTTATCAATGTCGAAATGAGGGTTCTCAGACACAATATCCTACCACATTACAACACAGAGAGATTGGGTTACACGTTGAAAACTTACAGCACACACACACACACACACACACACACAATAATAATAATTATAGCTACACTATCTTTTCAGGCTCTAAACCCTACCTGTAGGTATAACTAAGGAGATAACTTTGATGTGGTTGAGTCTCAATACGAACAAGTGTCAAAAACACGAACACTTGCCAATGAACAAAGGGAGGAGACTGGAAGAAACACGCTATTGAATGGGACACACACGTACACCACATACTTTACACACCGAGCCATATGTCCTCCACCATTGCAACATTACACAACAGAGTGCACAGAATCATTACACTCTAGGCTCCACACAGATTCATATTTTTTTCATCCTCCAGCCTTGAAACAGTACTCTAGGCTGTAAGTATCACGAGAAAAAATCAGTCCATAGCATGGCAATACCTTGTACGACACAAGATGTACCAAGTGGGTCATGTGGTCTTACACTAGTGAGCAAAAGAGGCCCAGGCTCGTTCTATTTTAGATGTGTTGCGCACACGGAATTAAAAGTCATTCTGTGCAGACCTTTAGTTAAAGACCACCTCCATTGTGTACGTAGGTGATTACATACACATGCACGCTGCGTAGGCTCTCAGCAGGACTGACCTTCATGAGTCTGTCCAGTAACTCTGCACCATAGCGGACATTGGAGTCGGAATCACTGGACAACTGAAGAAATGGAGAAAAGGCACAGGGAGAGGGAGGAGAGGGGAGGTATGTGTGTAGGTAGTACAGTAGAACCACCAAACAAGTTGGGATCAGGCATTTTTTCCTCATAGGGATGTTGTCCTTTCTTCGGAGGTACACAAAAGGGACATCGAAGTGTGTCCTTTAGTCCGAGTGTCCTCTATCAGAGGTTCTACTTTATAGTATGTAGTAATTTAGGAAGAGAGAGGAAGGGGAGGTATGCAGTGAGGTTAGGAGAGGAGAGAGAAGATGGGAGGGAGGAGAAAGGGAGGCATGTGGCTGGTGCCCCACATGTTCTTATTGTTAGGAGAGGAGGCAGGGTGCAAGGGAGGGAAGATTAGAGAGGAGAGTGTTGACTGACCTTGCAGAGCCCATCAAAGGCACTGTTGAAGAAGACCAGAACGGCTCCGCGGGCCACCTTGGAGATGTTGTACAGACTCTCGCAGGCGTAGTAGCGTACACGGGCGTCAGGGTCATCGAAACAGGTCAGAACTGGCTGGACCAGCTCTGGCAGGTGCATCCCTATACTGGGCTGTGCAGCCACCACAGCATAAATAGGTGCACAGTTTATAATATGCTGGCCATAATGAGAAATACCCAAACTGTAGGTCTACATTCTGTTTACAGCACATTTCACCCCAAAAATACAACCCTCCAGACTATGGTTTTGACAATAGACAATGAATACCAAGTGTAAAAGGATAGGTGGCTGTGTTGAGAATGAGTGTCTTTGTTATTGCTACTAATAATGCGCACACGTGTGCATGTATCACTCTGAGGGTTGGAAGGTGCAATAATGGAAGAACTCTGACTTCGGAAATCATGCACAATTAATTATAAAGGTCCCTGGTGTGATTGGAAGTAACAAGGTATAGTCCCCCCTCCCCAGAGACTCACTCGACCCAGAGCAATGGCGGTAGCAGCCAGCCCCACCAGCCCTCCCTTGCGAGTGTTGGCCGAGGACGAGAGGGTAAAGTCATGTACCAGGACTGACACCACCTGCTTGATCTGGCTGTAGTCATTGATCATCACCAGGTCCTTCACCATCCTGTCAACACACCATGCAACAGCAAGCAGCAAGATTATGATGTTGGAATCTTTCCCCGGATCAAGTGTTGCATGCAGCTATGAACATCAGTGAAGCTGTGGTCCCCAGGTAAAGGATAACGAAGTCCTGATGGTTCATAAGGAAACCAAAGGGGTCTCTCGCTGGCTGGCTGGCTCACCTCTCCAACTCCAGTGCAGCTCCCTTTCTCCGCTCCACCAGTTTGTCAGTGAGTCCCCGGACTATACTGGTCGGCAGTGGGGACGAGTCCTGGGCCGCCATACCTCCACTACTATATACTACCACTGCTGTGCCTCAACGTTATTGACTAAGCATCCCTGCTGTCTACACTTTGTCCAGCTAGAATCGCGGATCGAAAATGGGGCGTGGTGCATGCGCGGGTCGTTTAATTCACGCATGCGCAATAAACATCAGATTTTATAGCATGCACAGCACATTGTTGTGTATAATCTCTATGGTGTAGTTTTAAAAATTGAAGCCGTAGCTGGGACCTGGGGCAGCTGGTGGTGGTTGTTGGCTCCCAGGAGGGGGATATGGAGCATGCCCCTGCTGTGATTGGTAAGGATTGTATGGTGCTGGTCCCCCAGTCTGGCCACCTGGGGCAGTCTGGAATAGACAAATTGAGAGATTCAAGACCTCATTCAGTGACTAACTACATGTACTCACCGGTGCAGCAGCAAAAGAAGAGCCAGCTATTGCTCCGTATCCACCATATGATCCGCCAGGAGGTGGAGGGTAAGAGGAGTAGCCTCCAGATGGAGCTCCTCCCAGTCCACCGAACCCCAGACCACCTCCAATGGGAGGTCCATAACCAGATGAGGGAGGAGGAGGGTAGGTGGCCTGGTAGGGCACTCCACTGGGAGCAGGAGGAGGGTAGGTGGCAGAGGAGGGAGGGGGAGGGTAGGGTTGGGGTGCGTACTGTGTTGAGTAAGGGTTTGCGGTGGCACCGGGTGGGTAGTTGGAATAATGAGCTGTGTTTGATGAAGGGGCAGTGGAGATGGGAGGAGGGTAGTGTGTGTTGGTTGGTGGAGGAGCTGATGGCAGGTTGCCTGAAAGAAGGAGAGAGATGCAGTGGAAGCATGTATACACGGCAGGATGGGAATTGTGCAGTGAGAGGAGGGGAAGAGGATGGTGGAGTTGTGTCTGGGATGATAGGCAGTCATACCAGTGGCAACATTAGGACAAACCCCTAAGGTAGCCTCATGCCCAGATCGAGATGCGTGGCATGAGGTTTGCCTTGTGTGTGTTGTGTTGTAGATTCGAATCCCTACTAGCTGAGTTGCCCTGGTAGCTCAGTTGGTAGAGCGCTCGCCTAGACTGCAGAGTGTCGTGGGTTCGAATCCCACCAAGGGCAGCTCTTCTTAGAAAGAGCTGTCCTGGGTGTAGTTCACTTGTTTGCCTTGCCTTGCCTTTCTACCTCGTTACCAAGTTGTCGAGACATGCATACTCTCTGCTATATAGTGAGGGACGAAACAGCTGTCCAGAGCTTCACTCTCTGGGATAAGTGCTTGTGCAAAATTGAAATGACTTGTGTGCACACACCTTGATTAAAATGGCACAGGAAAGCTATATCACATGGTTCTTACTGTGAAGAGTACATAATATGCACGTACAGTATGCCATTTCCTAACATTACAATACAAAGTCAGGTGTCAATAGTACAATAGACAACAAGGTACCGAGTGTCACACCTACCATGAGGAGGTGGAGGGGAGGAGGTGAGAGGAGGGGTGGAGGGAATGGTTGCAACCTCTCCATGCGGAGGGGAGGAAGAGGGTAGGGGAGAGTGGGAGGGAGAGGCTTGGGAGTGGCTGGCCAGGGGAGACACACTCCGCCGGAGAGGGATACCGGAGCCTCTCCGAAACGAGGGGGGACCCTGGTCGTTGAGAGTCACCCCCGCCATGTGCTTGCTGGCGTCACCAATTTTGAGGGAGCCAGATCGCTGTTGGCGTAAGGCGGGAGCGGAGGAGGTGGAAGGTGCAAGGGTGGCTCTACGGGTGTGTTTTGGGGAAGGTGTGTTCCGACCACCAATGTCATCCTGTCTGAAGCAGATGCACAGTCCGTTCACCTTACTGTGGTGCATGAGATCAGTACCATGAACAATGATGAAGCTTGCAAAGTTTTAAAAAAATGATCCACTACAACATAAGCTGCCCTCCCCCTACCCATACAGATAGACAGTCTTCGCTGTGTACATAAAGTAGTTATCAGCTAAGGTTGGTCACTTACTCTAACTTCTTGTACATCTTGGAGACATTGTCTCGACTGCGACAGATGATAATGTCAGCTACGATCTTGCTGGCATGGGTCCGCGGGACTTTCTTGACTGCCAGCTGTTTGTGGTACATAGGCTCATCACCTACATCCAAACACCACACGTACAGTACATCATTGTGGTTGCCCGACATCGGAATCAGGTATTGTAATCGTGTGACTAAGTGATAGTACAAGGTGCAAACCTGTTAGTGTGCACTAATATGAATGGACTGCCAGCTACGTAACATGTGCCGACCGACAGCTTCTGGACCCCCTTTCCTCTGGTGACTAGCTTCATGTCATTCCCCCTGGTCAATACTGTACTTTATGTTTTATATAGAGCTTCTCTTTAGCAGCAATTGTCAGTGGAATGCACATTCGTGTACACCACAGCAGTTTAAGACTCGGTGTCCCAAGAGCATGGCCTTAGACAAGAAGGTATATACATGTATGTATGTACTTCCCTCCATTCAACAACAAACATCACTGGTAAGACACAATATTAGGTCAAGGCCATCCCCAAAACCTAAGACCTGAGAAGAGCTTCCAGTCCCAAATTACAGACTCTGCCCCCCCCAGGAAACTACGCCTGCAGCTATTTCACAATGACATTCCTCGCATACCAACTTGCTAATTCATAGCTCCATTAAGGGAAGGGTACAGTACGTACAATCACGATTACTAAGCAGTATATATAGCATGTGAATGGATGTGAGCACGGGATTGGCAGAAGTTCACATGGTTCAATTGTACATACCTTCCACAGTTTCCTTGACTATCTTATATCCCTTGTAGAGGTACTGGGCTGACCTGCTGGGGATGTACATGTCCTCTATTACCATGTCATCCTGCATGAATTACACATCACCACATACATACACATACATGCAGAGGACAGGAAGGAGGAGGGATTCAGTGATAGATAGGATTGGCCAAGTACATTATGACAGTAGCTGAACATAGAATGTGTGTGTATGGTTGGTGTAACTGCATGTACTGTATCTGTTGTGAGCTGCCCTGTCCACGGCTATGCTGTCACTCAGACCATAGATTATCCATGCTCAGACTATACAAGAGAGCACTATAGAGAGAGTGTGTGTGTATCAGGAAACTGGAGCATGTTATTCCAGCAGATTTACAAACACACTATTAAATGTTGAGTTGCAGACCTTAGTGGAAACCCACTTGTTGAGTTTCATATCCTATTGCCCAGGCATTACCCATACTAGATGTCACAGACCTCACCAGCTCCTGTAGCCAATACTCTATGAACACAACCGTAAAATTTACCTTCTCTTCTTTGGTAAAGCAGAGGTATCTCTCTCCAGTGTTGCCTCCCAATACTTTCTCCCACAGCTGGGCTTCGTGGCCACACGGACAACTCTCTATCTGCACGCACATGGACACAGTGACTTACACACTAGCAGCGACAAACTCCCTCACAATCTTGTATCCTTCTGGGCAATTCTCTTTCGAGGACACGAACGTGATGTCCGTCACCGGCTCGTCCATGTTATCAGTAAAAGACCTGCAACTACAGCAGAGCACTCGATGTTTGGAAGAAGCGTGGTCGAATGTCAAAGTGAGGGCGTTCCATAAGGGCGTGGTTATATAGTCAGATTGAGAATGGGAGATCGGCAGCATGCGATTGAGCCCGCATTTACCGTATATCTCCGCTGCATTTCCGTATATTCTTTTCAACGCAAGAAGCACGTTGTCTTCCTCTGTCGAGTGCAGTGTGTCAAGTGTTTCACCCTGTGTGTGCCTCGCTTACGCTACTACTGCTAGCAGTTCTTGTGTTTTTCTTGGGCTGACGTCATTGAAAGGAATGGAAGTTGGGAAAGGCGCCGTGTCATCGGAAGAGGAAGGACAGATAATGGACGACGAAGAAGAAAACAGGGAGAAGCCGGAAGAAAAGTAAGAGCTCTTTTTACGTACACTTTTTAACGCTATTTACACTAGAGTGTATCATTATAAGTGAGAGAAGGGTTTTTGAAGCTTATTATGTGTCTGTTCTCTTTCATTTTTGTGTTTGTCGCCCACATGTAGGCCTGAGAAGAAGCACAAGCCTAAGCATAAGCACAAACACAAGCATAAACACAAACACAAGCACCAGCGCAAGGAAGGAGAGGAGGAGGAAGAGGGGGGAGGTGAGGAGGGAGAGGGAGAGGGACGCAAGAAGAAGCGCAAGCACCACAAGAAGCACAAGAAACACAAGAGGCGGAGTCGGTCCGGAGAGGAAGATGGGGCGGAGGTGGAGGGAGAGGGAGAGGAGGTGGAGGAGAGTATGGCAAAGAGAGCACGACTGGGTGACGTGTTTGACCTGGACAACTTTGAGGAGATGGAGGAGCTGAAAAAGATGCTGGCTGCCAGGAGCGAGAACGGGGAGGTCGACACTACAGCAGATGACGACCTTTTCAACCTGGGACAGCTCCAGGACATGAAGGAACTCATCCAGAAGAAACTGAAAGAGTGCGGCGAGATAGAAAAGACAAGTGATACAAAGCCTACAGAGGACAAGGTTGAGAAGGAGAAAGAGGAGAGGAAGGAGAGTACGACGAGGGTGGATAAATCACGAAGGAAATCCAGAGACGCTGACAGGTCCAGAGACTCTCAGAGCCCCGAGAAGAAGCGGACGAGAGTGAGATCTCCGGACCGCAGTAAGAGAACAGCAAGATCACCTGACGGTCGACGAAGTCCAAGATCACCAGGACATGGTACCAGGGAGAGGGAGTCAAACCATGTCTCTGAGAGGGCAGAGAGTGATGGCCGGCCGGGGAGTCGACACAGAGCAGCTTCAAAGTCTCCCCCGCGGCGCTCGTCTCCTGTCAGAAGACGCTCTCGCTCCCCTAGGAAGCAACGTAGGGGTTCGCCAGGCAGGAGGAGAGAGTCTCGCTCCCCTGCAGCTAAAAGAAGAGGAGACCAGTCCCCACCCAGGGGGAGGTCCTCACGCTCTCCTCCACGAAGGAAGAGAGAGACTCATTCACCAGTGAGGAAGAGGTCTCGGTCACCGGGAAGACGAGACGTCAGTCCGCGACAGAGGAAGGACTCCAAGTCAGGGAAAGAGTCTCCTTCCCCTGCTAAACAGAGCAGGAAAGACCGCACGCCCTCTCCGGGGAGGAAGAAGAAAGAGAGCTCTCCGTCACCGAGGAACCGATCCCGCTCATCTCCCTCACGGAAACACAGGGGCTCCCCCTCTCCCTCCAGCCGAGAGCGACGTAAGAGTTCGTCCTCCCCTGTCAAGAGACGCAGTAGGGACTCACCTTCGCCCTCTCGGAGACAGCGCGACCTCCCGTCCCCCCGGAGAAGAAGAGACAGCTCTCCGAGAAGACGCTCTCCCCCTCGCGGCGGCGGGAGTGGACGGTACCCCTTCCTCAGGGGGAGGGAGCTGCCCCTGAGAGAACGAGGTCGTTTGCGGTCTCGGAGTCCGGTGAGACGGCGACGATCGAGGTCGGGTGAGCGTCGTCCATGGAGGAGGTGGTCTCCACCGGGGGAGCGGAGGAGGGGCGGGAACAGGAGACGGTCGAGGTCAAGGTCCAGATCACGAGAGAAGAGCAGTGAGAAACAGAGTGACTCTGAGGACGAGTAAGTCATGTTGTGGGTGGAGCACACTGCCTTGAGAGCGAGCAGAGTGTTGTGTGTTTGAGTCTCACCCTGAGTGGCCCTTTGTTGTTCTGGGTGTTGTTTGTAGTGTATGCACGTTGACACCCTGTTATGTAATGCTTAACTTCACCTCAGTGTATATACGATTATGCAAAACCAGGCATTGTGCTCAGTTGAGATTTGTCATTACACGCAGTTGTAGTTCAGTGTGTCCAGTGCCTGTTTAGTTACTGATACACTTCCATTTGCCTGTCTTCTATAGAGTGCTGGACATTGAGCCGGACTCGGAGGACGAGGATGTCATTCTGGAGCGACGTCGCCAGCTGCGCAGGGCCATAGAGGAGAAGTACCAGGCTCTGAACCCGGCCGCCGCCTCCCCAGCCAAGAGTGAGGCCTCGGCTGACAGCGATCTCGTGGGGATACAGGCTGCAGAGTAAGTTACTGTGTGGGTGTGCGTGCGTGTGTGTGGTTTTGTTTTCCCAGCAAGGGAAGGGTATTCTATATACACACCCATGCAGCAGATTCAAGTGCCCATTTGGACCTTACAACACACACACACATGCCGTCCTCACTGGCTAAGTGGGCTTGATTAGGGAGGTCTCCATTATAATTCAGGGGGAAGGGGGGTGGGCGACCTAGTGAAACAAGAATAGAAATGGGTGTTATACACTCCTTTGAGGCTTAGTGATGTGTGTGTGTGTGTGTGTATGTGTAAGTTATCAGGGTTGTAATACGAGCTCACAGTTAATTGTGTGTTCATCCTACTGCTTGCAGGGATCTGAAAGAGAGTCTGGAGCAGGCAGAGGAGGAGATGAGACAGAAGAAGTCGTCGGCCACAGAGAACGGGGCCTCAGACTCACCAGGTCCAGCCAAGGAGGAGGGTCAGAGAGGGAGCAAGGTGGCCAGCCAGATGTCCAGTCTCCTGGCCATGAAGAAGGCCATCAATGGAGACATGTTCACTGAAGAGAAGAACATGTTTGAGGAAAAGTACCTGGTGAGTGGCAGTTGCTCTCTGTGTGTGTGTGTTGTGAACCCATTGTGTGTGTCCCGTCTCTCTCTGGTGTGTGCAGAGTCCGTCGAGTGCTCTGTTGGCAGAGGGAGGCTATGAGAACCCAACTCTCAAGGACAACTGGGATGATGCCGAGGGATACTACCGTGAGTGCTTACTGCACATGTAATGCATGTGTAAAAACCAGCTACAGTACAAGAGAGCGTACACATGCAGTACCGTTCAGATGCTAGGTGCATAAACGGAACGTGTGTTCAACTCTTCATGCAATCGCGTTCGTCGCCAGCGCTAAACGCGTTTCGCTTCTCCTGCTTCACCTGTTTTCACGTGCAACTGAACGCGTCCACCCACAGCGACAAATGCAGCCATGCGCAGCGACAAACACGTACTCACGCGGGGACGAACGCAATCGCACGTAGCGATGATCGTGTTCTCCCGTGGAGACGAACGGGTTGGTGTTATACCTTGCATCTAAACTGTACTGTATTATAGCTGTTGTGTAATTCCCATTTCACACAGTGCACCATAATTTTGCACTGATGATGTGGTTTTGTACTTCCTGACTCTCTCCCCTCCCTCTCCTCAGGGGTGAGAATAGGGGAGCAGCTGGACCGACGCTACACTGTGTTTGGCTACACAGGTCATGGAGTGTTCAGCAACGTGGTCAGGGCTAGGGACAGACTCAAGGGAGACCACGAGGTCGCCATCAAGATCATCAGGAACAACGAAATGATGTGAGCGCTAAAAAAATTTCACAACCAACATTATACACTGGACAATAGATGAACCCATGTACTAGCTACTGATAGCTGCAACTAGGCAACTGTGGTCAAAATAACGTTATATTTTGTAGCACATACATAAAATTCCCCAACTCTAGCAGACATGTTGCAAATGGGCAGTACATGTACACCTCATGGTATGGTTCCACTGGTGTGTAGGCACAAGACGGGACTGCAGGAGATGCAGATTCTGGAGAAGCTGAACAAGGCAGACCCCGACGACAGGTTCCACATCGTGCGACTCTACCGTCACTTCTTCCACAAGAACCACCTCTGCCTCGTCTTTGAGACCATGAGGTGGGCTCTAAATAGAACTGGGGTCCGCCAAGAAAACATGCTGCTATCTTAAACCTTGCAAAAATGTGACTTCGTCAACTCACGTGCATTTACACATGTTGTACAGTATGTGCAGATGTTAAACGATGCACCTTTGGCCTCAAATTGATACTAATGTACAACTGTATGTATGTGTGTACATCTCTAGTATTTGACATGCGATGCTTTGTCCTTTTTCTCTCAGTATGAATCTGCGAGAAGTTCTGAAGCGTTATGGTAAGAATGTTGGTCTGCACATAAAGGCTGTGCGGTCGTATGCCCAGCAGCTGCTCCTGACCCTCAAACTCATGAAACGATGCAACATCCTCCATGCTGACATAAAACCTGACAACATTCTGGTGAGTCACCATACGCACAACGATTTTAATAACTTCAAACTCTTGTGTTTGAATTGTGTTGCAGGTAAATGAGACAAAGCTGGTGCTCAAGTTGTGTGACTTTGGCTCCGCCAGTTTCTCCCAAGACAACGACATCACTCCATACCTCGTCAGCCGCTTCTACCGTGCCCCTGAGATCAGTGAGTCGGGCACCGTCTAATGTGTGATGATGTACTTAATGAAAAGCACTAAAGTGCAAACCCTCGGTGCACTACGCGCACGCGTATGTAAGTAAATTCATGCGCAGTGGCACTAATTGATGGGCTGGGTTTTACTACCGTACTCGTGGTTTCTTGCCAGCTCGCGGAGAGTCTGACACGGGCTAGCTACACTACTAGATAGCATGCGTTGCAACTTTTGGTGCCTCCGAGGTACGCAGAGCAAGCGGATCAGACTGAGGTAAGCCATCCTGTCCATGCTATATATGCATATTGGCTTTTCCGCTCGTGTTTCACGCCTTATAACTACCGTGTAAGCCTCTGGGCTGAGGGCTAAAAATTATTACCCTTGACGTATGTACACCCTGTACTGTAGCTGTTTTAGCATCATTGTACACTGCTTGCTACTGTTACTCGATGGGCCGGGCCTGGTATGTATATACTGATTTGCTGGTATCGCTCTTTGGCAGTCTCATAGCCAGCCGGCAGTGTGAGAATGGCAGACAGACAGACATACATAGACCAAGTACTGTAACATTCGCTCTGCATGCACACTGAGGGTACTTAATGTTGCAGCTTTTGGCCAGAGTCTGTATCAACAGTTTGAATTTAGATACATATGTGCGTAATAATGTACCTGTACCTTCCTCCTCTCCTCTCTCCAGTAATGGGAGCAAAGTACGACTTTGCTCTGGACATGTGGGCAGTGGGATGCACTCTCTATGAGCTGTACACGGGGAAGATCCTCTTCCCTGGCAAGACCAACAACGACATGCTGAAACTGATGATGCAGCTGACTGGGAAGATGCCCAACAAACTCGTCAGGAAGGGCATGTTCAGGGAGACACACTTTGATTCCAATTTTGCCTTCCTCTACCATGAGATTGACAGAGTCACTGAAAAGGTGAGTTTACTTGGCCTCATATTCCAGAATCAAACAGTTTCCTTCCTTTTTCCACACCCACCCTCCCCTCTCCCCTCCATCCCACCCATTCTCTCTGCAACAGGAAAAGGTGACTGTGATGCCATCTATTCCTATGACCTTTGACCTTCTGGCTGCCCTGGTTGGTGAGCAGTCACTTGACGATGCCCACTTGTGTAAAGTTCACCAGTTCAAGGAATTTCTGGAGAAATGTTTGAATCTCGATCCACTAAAACGTCTCACCATCAACCAAGCCCTCACTCACCCTTTCATTACAGAGAAAATTGACTAGTGACTCACCTTCTTTAGTAAACTCTCTAACATACAAACACTGTGCAGGCTGACTCTAATCTCTGTGTATTATACAGGAGTCAGCCTATTCCTTGCATTGTGAGAGCATCTTTTCTAACTCTGTAGGTGTGTTTCCCGATGCTCTGTTTCCTCCACTTTAATATCTGTCTTCGTTGGTCTGAGGACATTCAATTCTATGTAATTACCTATTGATACACTCTCATTTGTGCATGCATGGATCTTTTGTATTGGGTGCTTTCATCGAGATATGAAGTGCAATGTGTACATAGAGCTATGGGAGAATGTATTGCGTGGTGTATTGTACCAGTTGTTTGGTGTGTGTTTCTTCCCTTTTCATCCAGCAAAGAGTGACTCTGGTGGCCTGCGCAAGTTGGTAGTCTGCGTGTCCTTGTGTTCACGGGGTCACACATGAGGTTCAGAGATACACAGAATGTAATTATGTACCTACACACGGTTCTTCTCTACCATACTGTTGTGGTGTGAATACCTGTATGGTTATGTGCTGCCTGTAGGTCTATATAGCTCACTCACATTCACTATTCCATGCTAGGTAAATGGCTCTGCACACGTGCATAATAATTATCGTAACCCTCGTTCGTGCTAGGTAGTCCAGTTATTGGTGAGAGTATTTCTCTGTCATGTTGTGTTCCTACACTATAGACATGTGATTTAAGGAGAAAGAAGCTTTGGTTGGTTTGGTGACTAGCCACTATTGGCCGCCAGCTCGTCAGACACACACGGCAGGGTACCAGCTTCTGCACTTGCTCGTGCTACGGTAATTCTCAAAGCATGTAGGGTGTCTTTTTTTTATTTGCATGGATGGTGAAGATTGTTTATGTGCCTTGTTACATGGTCATGTGTGCTGCGAGAGGTGTGCACATCTCAAGGACTCAGCGGTGTCAAGGCTTTCTCCTGCTCCATCTCATCGTCCTGTGTAGCTCCTACTGTTGTGTTTTTATTGCATGTCCCTTTGTTTTTTGTTTTGTTTTTTTTCATGGTCAAGTGATGATGATATTTTATTGTGTGAAGCGCGTGCTCATAACTTTCATGTATGAACTATCGGTTAGTTGAACCAGTGGACTGCTCCTGCTTACATAACCTATAAAACTTCCTGCTGCAAGCCTTTCGTTGACTTGCTGTGATGGTTCAGTAGCTATGTTTAGCGTATGTGGCAAACAAAGTGTGGTGTGCCTAAGAGGGAAGGTGCATGTCCTTGTGGAAAATCACACTCAATGTCCAACGATCAGCTCCTATATTATTATAACTACGTCAAAATCAAATTGGCAAGTCAAGTATGGTGGAGACTACATGTTCTAACAGTACATGTATGTTCATGTCCTAGGCTACAGTGTATTGTCATTGTGTAATAAAGACAGGATGTAAGATAAAATGTGTTACAGTTCAAGAAAATAGAAACAGTGATATATTACAGGGGTGTTACTGGGAAGACCTGTAGCTAGTGAACTCAGATTTCGCTGCCTCAAGTGCAGTCTTGTCAGTCAGAATATCGATGCAGGTGTAGGGCCATGGCTTTAGCTACCACGAGTGTGGCGTCATGAGAGGCCGGGGTGTTGGTGACGGCAGTAAAGTCTCGTGTGTGGTAAACCTCTCCGGTACCTATCTTGAACATTGGGTGAATGGAAGGCACGACGTGGCTGACGTTGCCCATATCTGTCGATCCAGCAGTATTGTGAGTGTCCAAGAAGTCGGTGAAACCGCTGCTACTGAGGTTACGAGCATAGAGTTGTGCCAGTGTTCCATTGCTCTCCATATCTTGGAACACCTTTCCATCTAGAGTGAAGCTGTGCTGACAGCCGGTGGCTAGAGCTGCTGCCTTGACACAAGTTTCCACTTTGGAGGTGAGGGTCTTTAGGTCTTCAGTACTGGGAGCTCTGACCCACACATCCATGGCCGCCTTGTCGGGAATTACGTTCCCCTTGGAGCCTCCGTTGGTAATGATCATGTGGACCCTCCAATCTGGCTTCATCTGCTGCCGAAGAGCCGATATTGAATTGTACGCCATGACAGCTGCGTCTAGAGCGTTGATCCCTCCCAGGGGTGGGTGGCTGCATGCGAGGCTTTGCCTGTGAAACTGGCAATGTGGCAGGAAACAGCGATGAACCCTGGTCTCACCACCGAGTAAGGGGCAGGGTGGACCATCATAGCCACATCTATGTCAGAAAAAGCCCTGTTGTCGATTAGGACAATTTTGCCCCCGCCCCCCTCCTCTGCCGGAGTCCCCATCACGGTCAGGGTCCCTGTGGGTGCTCCCTCCTTCTCCAGGGCAGCCTTCACCCCCAGCCCTGCAGCCACCCCAGCCTCAGCTATCAGGTTGTGTCCACACGCATGGCCAATGCCCGGCAGAGCGTCATACTCGCATATGACGCACACGTTCGGCCGTCCCTCTCCGAAAGTCGCCCTAAAAGCCGTCTCCAAGCCAGAGAACCCTCGCTCCACCTTGAACCCTCTCTCCTCCAGAAACTCTGTCAGGAGCTGGTGGGCCTTGTACTCCTGAAAACCCAGCTCCGGGTTCCGCCATATCTTGTCGCTCAACTCCCCCAGCGCCCCCTTGGCGGCCTGTACTGCAGCCGAGGCAACTTCCTTCAAAGCACCTGCCATTTTCACTCTCCAGCTGATTTTGTGAAGTTTGCGCATGCGCATCTAGAAAGACAAAGGGTGTGGTAAACAGTTGCTGCAGGTGTGTGGGGGGATGCACGCTCGGAGTGAGGAAAGATGACCTGTTCCCTGATAGAGCTCAAGGCAGTGGCCTCAGTGGCGATCGACAACCACAAGGCGGCGCTGTTCGAAGTGAGCGACGAGATATGGCGAAACCCAGAGCTCGGGTTCCAGGAGACGCGAGCACACGCGGCTCTCACTGCGTTCCTGGAAAGGCACGGCTTTGTGGTGGAGAGGAGCTTCTCTGGCCTCAAGACCGCCTTTAGAGCCACCTTTGGAGAGGGACGGCCGAACATGTGCGTCATCTGTGAGTACGATGCTCTGCCCGAGATCGGACACGCGTGCGGGCACAACTTGATCGCAGAGGCAGGCCTGGCTGCCGGACTTGGGGTGAAGGCGGCGCTGGACAATAGCGGAGCTCCGGCTGGGATGGTGACAGTACTGGGGACCCCGGCGGAGGAGGGCGGCGGAGGGAAACAACTGCTGATCGACAGCGGAGCCTTCGAGGACGTGGACGTGGCCATGATGGTACACCCATCACCCGTCACGGCTCTCATGCCCAGGTTTCTAGCCGTGTCATTTCTCAAGGTGGAGTTCAGTGGGAAAGCTGCCCACGCTGCAGCCAGTCCCTGGGAGGGGTTCAACGCTCTGGACGCTGCAGTGATGGCCTACAACTCTGTCTCTGTGCTCAGACAGCAGATGAAACCAGACTGGAGGGTCCACGGAATAATCTCCAATGGTGGGGCCAAACCTAACATCATTCCCGAGAAGGCCGTTATGGAGTACATGGTCCGTACTCCAGAGAGAATAGACCTAAAGCTGCTACTTGGCCGCGTGCGGGCGTGTTTCGAGGCAGCCGCTCAAGCCACGGGCTGCCAGGTTGAAATCACCAACAGCGCTCCGTCGTACGATAATCTAGTCAGCAACGAAGTCCTAGCCAGTCTGTTTGCCGAGAACCTCAAATTCTTCAACGTCCCCTTCACCAAGACCACCACGTCCAGTGGCTCTACTGACATGGGCAATGTGTCTCACCTGGTTCCCTCCATCCACCCCAAGTATGCCATAGCCTCGTCCTCTGCTAGGTCCAGTAGGGAATCGATACACACTCGGAGTTTCACAAATCTCACCAACACCCCCACCTCCCACGAGTCCACTCTCACCATGGCCAAATGTATGGCCCACACCTGTCTCGATGTACTCGCCTCTGAGAAAGTCCTTCAAGAAGTGAAAGACTCTTTTGAGTTTGACACCGGGACAGCAGTATAATGTAGTACCGTAATCTTCGTGATCAGATGCCCTTTTTATCATTTTTGGAGTCCCTTTCTTTAACTTATTTTTGTATGTGCAATCATTCATCTATTATGTGCACCTACCCCTGCAACCACTACACGTAATCACAACTCTATTATCCAAGTTACAGCGGAGCTACATTGCAATCCTCCAAACGAGAGAATTACATTCCTATGCTTCATGTGTATCGCTCTGGAGCCCACACAAACACAAACAGATCAGACCAGCTGTAGCCACACAAAAGTGTAGGAGTAATACTAGATCCTTGGCATAGTGTAACTGCTCTAGGTGAAATTCAGGTAGCTACAGCTCAGTATAGCCCAGTGAATGGCAATGGTCAACCCAACAAGGCTCACAATCTCTCTACTGCTGCTACTAACCCTCCTAATAACAGTGGGGAATGTACTCATCATCCAGACCAGTCTTCAGCAGAACCAGGAGAAAGAGGATCAAATAGCACTACTCAACAGGAGACTCCTCTCAGTGGCAGAGGGGACAGAGTCCGACCCTCAGTTCCTCTCTGTCATAGAGAAGCTCCCGGAGATCTCTGAGCAAACCTTCCTCGAGAGCCTCCAACTAAAGAACCTGAGGATATTTGTATACGACCTCCCCTCTGCCTACAACAGTGACCAGGTGAGGAGAAACACGCTCAGCCCACCCCAGATCTGGGACCCCAATTGCACCGGGAACTTTTACAGTGCAGAGTACTCTATGCACCAGTACCTACTGAGGAGCGACTACAGAACGTTGAACCCAGAGGAGGCCGACTTTTACTACGTCCCGGCCTACAGCTGCTGTTTCCTCATCAACAACCAGCCCAACAACCTCACAAAGACTGGAATATTTCACCAGAAGCTCCTCCACCACATCCGCACCTCCTACCCCTACTTCAACAGGTCTAACGGCCGGGACCACGTCTGGGCCTTTACTCAGGGCTTTGGTGCACGGCTCTTTGGGGACTTCCACCCGATCCGCAGTGGGATATTCCTAGTGCACAACGGACAGTTCACTATAGAAGACTTTACTCCCCACAAGGACCTCACTATCCCTCCGGACCTTACAGGCTACGGTTTCCCCAGTATCTACGAGATCCCAGAGTCCAGAAGACCTTCGAAACAGTGGCTGGGACACTTTGGTGGGACAGTTCTGCCCCTCAACCTCACCGATGCCCGAGGATCCCATTATTCCAAGGGCGTCCGTCAGTACATCAAGGAGCACTTTTCCCACGACAAGGACTTTCAAGTCACGGGGACGAGGGTCAACACCTATGTCAGAGACATGATGTCATCCATCTTCTGTCTGTGCCCGGAGGGCTGGCATGCCTGGAACCCCCGGCCCTACCAGGCGGTCCAGCTGGGCTGCATCCCTGTCCTACTCAGTGAAGAGATAGAGCTGGCCTTTGAGGAGGTGTTGGACTACTCTCGGTTCATGTTGAGAGTCAGACCGTCAGATGTGGCCAACCTGAAGAGCATTCTCCTGAGTATTTCACCAGGGGAGATCTCCAGTATGCAGAGGGAGATGGAGCGGGTATGGAAACTGTTCAACTATGGTCCACAGGGCCTGGCACCTCAGATGATACTCAAGATGCTGGCTAGACGGAAGACGCCACACCACATCAGGAGAGAGTACCACAATATCCAATTAGTCGTTGGCTAGACAGTTAGTCACACACGCCACATTTCTCTCGCCACACAACGCAATTAGCCATCACTCAGCCCTATTATAGCGATATCACTTCCACATCACCCAAAAAATTATAGGAATGAAATAAGAATCATGAAGCAGTAAAACTGAATCTGAGTTCGCCGCTGGTAGTGTTGAACTCTGAGACATAGTTCAGTTTGTGTAAGTGAGAGGTACCCAGGGCACTGTCGGGGGAGAGGAAATGGACGGCCTGTTTGGAGGTGGAGTCCCAGCACAGTCTCTCATTGGGACCTCCAGGTGCCTGGTGGGGGGACAGAGGAGCGTGTTAGCTACACTGCATGGTACACATGTAGATAGACTGCAGCGCACCCATGTATTTCATGGCCATTCACATAATACCACTACATTATCCTTCTCAGGTACTCGTATGATAGGCCTATAGCTATATTCAATCTACACCGAGTATACATCAGCACTGCACAGTACACATGTAGCCAAACTGCACAGTATAGAAGTACTTAGTACATAGGGATGACACAGGTTGTTCTGCATTATGCCCATACCAGTGCACGCGATAAGGCAACTGACTTGTTCTGACAAAGTGTCAGACCAAGGTAATAGTTAGTCAGACATTTTAGATAAATGGTCGGACATAAATATTCCGTAAGAATGATGAATTTACAATGAAACAGCAAAAATACCAACACGTATTGTTTCAAAGTCAAAGTGCCCAGTCCTCCCAGTCATCTAGGCTAAGGCTACATTTGAGATTTGTACGTTTCACTTTTAACCTTCTCAAAACACATGTCTATAGCTCACATTGAGAAACACTGTGCAGTGATACGTAAACTGCACATGGTGGCAACTGAAACCACTAGGAACACATTCCACAGCCATTCTCTCACATACTGCTGTAAATTCTTCTCCTAAATAGTCAAGCCTATAGCTCAATCTCCACTACCCTGAAATGATTGGGCTGTTTACATGTGGCTCTCAAATACTGCAGTAATGGGACTGTAGCACAGTATTGCATAGTACACGGCACACATACATGGCTGGGAGCAAGTTTTGGCGGGAATGGTGCTAGGTATCAATGGCGAAATACTGGACTCAACGGAGACAACTGCATTAGCACCCACACACAATAGAGAGAACATCCGTAACTCAATTAAGTATCAGATATTGCCCGCGTGGAATTCCACCTGGTGTGCTATGCAAGCTGTGCACCTTCGCAAATCTATTGTGTGCTGTACATGTGTATAGCATACCAGCTACAAAGGAGAACAGAAGAAACAACCCCAAACCATCCTTTGCCCAAGTATTATACACAAACAACACATTCACACAATACACACATGCTCAATTTGTGTGCATACCGTCATGAGACCAGTGGTGGTAGTGATCTGGTCTGTCAGCTGATAGTCCATCCACAGAACCACACCATTGCACCTTCCCTCTCCTCCCCTACTGCTGCTAGGAAGTGGTGGGTGTGTCAACTCCAATACTCCGCCCACTCTGATTGGTGTGCTTGGGACAGGGGCGATGAGGTCAAAGTTCATGAGTGTGTACACTTTGCTCCGAGGATGAGCGGGGTACTCCCACAGAGGATGCATTTCAGGCTCCACCCACTCATCATCACTATTCACCTTCCCAACCTGTACAAATCAATTCAGAGGTACACATATCAGGCCATTGTGCGGCATTCAACGTTCTTGTCTCACCTGCCTGTCAAAGGCAGAGATGTCAAATCCCTCCACATTCCCAACAGGAGCTCGTAAACTGTACAGATCTTGGAAACTGACTGTGTTCAGACACAAGACAGCATATTGCAGCTTCACAAACTGGGCAATGACTCATTCAAAGAGAGTATGAGGTGCATGTGTGAGCAAAATAAGCACTAAACGCTTTGCTACTTGGGAAAAGCTTACATGGTACCTCTCTTGGCATCACATGGTATTTTCTACATGGTACCATACTATATAATTATATCATCACTAAAAGCTCACGTGTTCTAACTTTACCCACCAGCAATAGCCATGAGAGAGGCAGAACAGGGAACCACAAGGCAGTCAGCTGAGCAGAGGCTGCGGAGAGCGTCTCTGGCATACCAGAAGTGGAGGTTGTGCCAGGGAAGAAGACTAGTCGAGAAATACGGTTCTCCAATCACCGCCTCAATTAGAGCACCCTCGGTGGGCGTGGCTCCATTGACAAGATCACTAGCGGTGACATCATGTGAGGACTTTGTAACTACATGTATCTTTGTCCCAGTTGGCACTGGGTTACTCTCCAACAGCTAAACAACATCAAAGCATAGACACTGAAAAAGAGGCTATACGACTGATTTTCGTGCTTACTGTTTTATAGACGCGTGCAGAATGTTCATTACTCTCCAGTGTATAGATCTACGTATAAGAGAGATTGCTGCTCACAGCTGAGCTACACACAGCAGATCCCGAGTCCCATCTAGGGTAGTTCCTTTTTAATTTGTTCTAGGTGTAAATGTGTACTTGGCCTTGCGTTGTCCACCCGCTGTGATTCATACTTACATGAGAGAGAGAGGGGAGGTTGGACTTTGCCAGGAGGAGGGGTAGGAGGGAGCCATCACTAACACACATTACTCTAGACCTCCCCGACAGAGCCTGCACGAGGAAAATACATCATACACCAACATCAAATTCACAAAAAACATGATCATCAAACATACATAAAATGCATTCATACACTTATAATTGGAGTTCAGATCTGCGTACCAGTACAGTTCTTGTAACAGTTATTGTTGGACGTTCCTAAGCAACCGACATGTAACCAGTTACAGGAGAGACATAACTGGTTAAAACAGTGCTGTTATCAGTTACAGCAGAGCTCTAAATATTTTTATATTTCTACTATTTGGTCGGAATTTGAATTCTTGAACCCAGACGATTGGGAAAATACCCTACCACCCAAAGAAATCATACCGTGAAATTATGGAGCCAGAACTGACACGTGACGCCTTGAAGGTATGAACGGTGGTTATGTGGTATTGTATTAGCAATTGCTGTCCCCGTCTAGGCGCGCACGGGCAACGGCTCCACACCACAATACGTACGTACACGCGAGAGTAGCGCGCACGTGACTCCGACCACAAGCCACGTTGAGTTTTCTCCGCAAAGCGGTGGTCGTCTGTCTTGCTTGCGGCTACAAAATGTGGCAACTTCACCAACCATAGCCCGCGTGCGACCGGTACTACTACTCTGTTTGACGCTGGTATACCGGAAGCTATAATACAGAAGAGAACCTGCCACAGAAGTTTGGAGGCGCTGCATACATACAAACATGTTACTCCAGCTCAAGAGCAAGTCGTGGCAGGTGTACTAGCTCCTGTTGTGCCGGTTACCACAGCACTGACACTAACATCAACCGCGGATGAAATGTTCGTCAATAAGCTACCTGCAAACTCTTTTATGACTAGTTTTGAACTTCATGTACTCATCCCTACTCCCATGCCTTATCACCGCCTCCATCGCCACTTACCAGTCGTGGTAACCCGAGTAGTCTTCCCGGGTCTACTCCTAAGCCAGATTGGACGCCGTTTCGGTTTCATCCATATTCGCTGGGAACACAGACTGAAAATGTAGAACCGCCATCATGGTGGTTAACGCCACCGCCGTCTACTATCGCTCTCCACGTCGCGTTCATTGGTCTTGATCTTGCCGACGGTACTTTTCTCCAGCCCTCAGTCCCTTTCTTCATCAAGACCTCCAGGTGAATTGAGCCAGAACTGCCACCCGGTGATGCCGTCTTCGAGCGCCCAGTTCTCATCTCCCGAGGGAAACGGGCGGTTCGTGTCTCTGTTGCCGGGCCAGGAGTTGGAGCAGCTTTGTAAACTGTATGTTCCCAAACAAACAAAGAACACAGCTCGTGGGCGGTTGGCATATTCAGAGCGTGGGCTGCCACCAGAAATGCATCGCCTGACGTACATGCCACTGACGCTGTTCCAGGTGATATTCTAAAGGTACGTTACCCTTTACATGTCATCGACCGCACATTAGCATTTTGAGGCCAGAAGGGCAGATGGGAAGGCGTATCCTGGGAGCACATTGAAGAATATCCTGAACGGTTTTCTCTAACACTTCGCCAGTTATGCAGCGCCAGTTTCCACTCGGGCCTTGGCTATGAAAAGCACGTATACCGAGCTCATGCCAAAGGTTTTTGTGAGAGAGACAGGGCAGCACTTCACCACGTGATGAAACAGCAGCAGGGTGTCATTAATGTAGTGAATGTTGTTGAAAAATCAGAAAGGGAGAAGCATTATCCGCAGCTTCATAATGTGGATAGAGTACTGCGCCATTTCCGGGAAAGTGGCATTGGTGTAGAGCACAAAAGGGCTGCATTGATCACTCCCGATATAGAAGCTAAGCTCTGACAAATGGCATTGGGTGTCTGCCTGTCTGTGTTTTACTCAACATCTCACTTCTCGAACGTTTCTTCGTCTCACAAACGATACTACCTAGGATAGTAGCAAACAAGTGAAAAGAGTGCTGAATGATGAGTTACCTGTGGGAAACATTTCTCCACCAAAAAAAAAAGAAGAACTAATAGTTAGATTGTCTATTTGAGTAACTCAGATTGTCAGTTTCAGTTATTCACGCTATAGAATCCAAATCTGAATTTCAATTTTTTCATGTCACCCTCCCTTTAAAGTGATAGCAAAAAGGTATGTTGTTTGATTGTTTAATCTCCAAATTGACATTTTATTTTAACATTAGAAAAATAAATATAAAGAAATAAGTAAGTTGAATTATATTTGTTTCGAGCCAAGAGAAAAGCAGAGCATGATTTGCCAGGCAAAGCCATGAAACGCATGCGAGTATGAAACATGTTGAATCCACCAAAGATGTGTTAGGAACATGCCAATCGTGTAACACCACTCAGCATATGTCAAGTCCCAACTGTTTGCTAAAATGTTCATCAAGGGGGAAACAGATCAAGTATTTCACTGCGTCCACATGCAGGCAATAAGACACCATCGAAGTCGAAGACCTGCTTTTTTCTCCGCCCTTTGACTTAAAATTCAATAAATTCCATCTAATTACCAGCATTCAACGCAACTGTTTTTTTGTACACACCTGGGGGTAGCTCTATAGACGGAGAAAAGGTTTCACAGTAAAATCTTTCTGTATCTAGATACACTAGTGCTTTAGTATGATGGTAAAAATGTATGCTGAATTGGCTCATCAATATATTCATGAACGCATCTTCCTGAAATACAAATCCTGCCCCCATATTTGTTACACGTCCCATCTCCCTTGAATGCGTCCCACATAGATGAGCGTATTCTGGACTGGATCCACACGGCCACCAAGAGAATTTCAAACTACAGTGGGTATACGGCTCAAAACGTGATTGAAGTGGAATTAAATGAAAACGTGTATAAATTGAGGTGAGTACAAATGTTTTAATCGTAGCGTATCACTACTATTTTCAACCTTATGAAAAACTTTGCTGATTTATCATTGTTAAAGCATTTTTCGATCGGTACAAACCCATTTGTAGGTGGCAATAAAGCCATGAGCGATAGTCACCACTCGGCAGCATGGCAAGAAGCCTACGGTTCCAATGACATTTTTGAGGGAGATCCAAGAGGAAAATCCCTCTCGTCATGCACCGATGGTGTTAGTCCTTTTGCCCATAACAGGAGTGTAGTGGAGTTATTTATAGTATGTACATGTATAACTGGATAGGTCTAGAAGGTGAAGAATCTGGTGGCTATCGAGGGAGTAAGTGGAATTGCTAATTATGAAGTTGTTGGTGTTAGAGTGAAAGTTGTGAGCGAAGAAGATGTCACAGAAGTGAAAAAGGGTTTATTTAAACAAGACTATTGCATTGCAGACACGAGTGGATGTTGCAAGAATGTAACCTGGGAAGAAAATGTAGGTATTCTTCTTGTTGGTGATTGTTACAAGTTGTCTGGCCTAGTTGTAAGGACATACAATGGCAAGAAGTATTTGTCAGTTCCAACAGAGGGATTTCATGCTACGAAAGTCGAGGACATTGGAGTAGTTGGAAATGTTCCAGAAGAGCCCGCAACATAAGTGAAGTTCACCAGACGAGGAGGTGTGGCCGAGTTAATAACAACAACAAAAAGTTGTATATAGATATATAAAAAGATGGGGAAACAATGGATGGCAAGGAACTGCTTCGTTGCAGAGCTAGAGCGTTTTCCTGTTCGTACGGTACGGCAAGGGCGGCCATTTTAACAACGCGCATGTGTGTATACACCAAAACGCACGCGACTCCGAGGCGGCAGGCGGCCAAAGCGGTGCACGCTGATTGGGACCACGTGGCCAGCAGCCATTTTGTTTTCCCTCATTTCTCTGTGAGACTAGACTGAGAAGACGGTTGAGTTCAATAAGTATGCCTCCAACTAAGGTATGTCCGCAATGTAAAGCTGTTGTACATATAAGGCGGAAAGTGTGTGAGAGCTGTGATCATGTTTTTCGATCCAAACGAGCAGCCGAGTGTAAATTTCCTGACAAAACTATGAACCTGAAGCATTACTCAAGGCACCAAAGCTCACATCTGTGACAGTAATAAAGGAGAGGAAGATCGTACGATCAGTTCAGCAATAACATTCATTTTCTAGCTAGCAACTCTACAAACTGATTGGTCCGTCACTTGGCGGACCACCTCGGACTGCTAGGCGTGTGATCCGCTACCGAGAACTAAGAAGACGATTGGTCTGTTTTTGGGCCAGACCACCGTGGGTTTTCGCGAAAGTGATCCCTGCAAAAATATAGCTCAGATACTGACCATCTAATTGGCGCATGGTAAGATGGACCACCGCGGATTTCACCGCGGATATCACCCCAGCGTATGCCTATATAACCTGATTTCTCTGTTACCATTTGTACTTCGTATAATACTATAGCCATATATAAATACCTATAAAAGAATCACCTGCTCCCTATAGCTCGCTAGCTGCAGTCATAGAAAATCAAGATACCTGAATATGGTTATAGTGTGTGCACTCATAAATGTCCATAATTTTGAAATGAAATTGCGCGACCGAAAAATTTTTGCCGGTCCAGCTCTTTCGCTATGTGTAGTACGTCTACCATAGAGTAGTACGTATGTCCAAATTTTGCTCTTTTTGTACGCAGTACACATGACCTAGCCTAAGTTGAAGGATTGACCAATCAGATTGATGGAAAAATCCGGATATTTCCGCGCACGTTCGGCTACGCGATACTTATGAATTATTAATGAAGCGTTATTTTCGGTGTTACTTTTTGTCCTGCGATATTCTCGACTGTTTCTGCTCTAGCGATCGACTTTTTCTGTTACCTCTGGTATGGAGAGCACTCCCAAGACCCCGTGGTCTCGAAAGAGAAAACTGAAAGGGAAGATGGAGCTATTGCGGGAGGCGAAGCTCGCAAAATCTGACGCACCGACTTCGCCTGCAATCGGCGACACTCAGCCCGAACCCACGACTTCTGGAACACCAGGCGAGTCCTCTGAGGCTCCTTCTGGATCCCTGCAAGGTACTGCTGGAGAGCATGAGGCAGAAGCATCAACAGAGTCGCTCGATGAGTCCCTCCGTGTTCCTGTCACCGTGCAGCTTAGTGAAGATGATTCCAGTGAAAGCGACGAGGACAGTGAGAGCTTCAGCAATGATGATGCACGACAGGTATACCAAGGAGCAGCCCAAGCATGTCGTCAAGATCATGGCAGTCATGTTCATGGATGCCCTGATTGA